ATAATAATAATAATAATAATAATAATAATAATAATAATAATAATAATTTTAAAAGCCACCTTTACCGCTACAGTGGCTGGATTGCGGCCTGAGGAGACCCACAGGTAAGAGATGCCATCCTTCATGAGAGCCTGGTTCTCCCAAACAATTAGACAAGAATTTCAGGCTTAAGTCAACCAGCTGTAGCAGCTGCCTGGTTTGGACACCAACAGAGGCGTTCCTCAGGGGCAGGGGCAGGCTTCTGCAGAACAGCCAATCTACTTCAGAAATCATTCTGCACCCCCTTTGGAAAGAAGTCAGTCTTATGTTTCCAAGAGGGACCTCCTTCCATAGAGGGCTTTTTGGATGGGGAGTCGGAGGTAGCAGGTCCCCACTCCTTTAAGAACCTTTTCCAGCTGGCTAATTCAAGACTCTGCTGGTTAAGGCTAAGAGCAGAGGGCATCAGAGGCAAGATGACGGAAGGTTCCAACAGAGCTTTTAGATACAACAAGTGACACCCAAGCCTCCTCTCCCACAGGGGGCTGTCTGGGACTGTTCTGGCAGAGGTGGGAACAGATCACGGTGGATGCTTGGATCCTGACAAGTTTATTGTCAGGTCTCTTTTGGGAGTTTCTTTCCTCCCCCCACCCAGTGCCTTTGTGTGCTGCCCCATCTCAAGGGACCCCTCAAAGAGGGATCTCATGGAATCAGTGATCCACCATCTGCTGAAAGTTTGGGCCATCCAGCTGGTTCCTGGAGACCAGGAGAGACAGGGGCTCTATTCAATTTGGTTTGTGATTCCAAAGGCCTCGAGGGGTGGCGAGCAATCCTCAACTTGAAAGGGCTCAGCAGGAATCTAATCTACCAAAGATTCAAGGTGCACTCCCTCCACTCTATCCTACAGGGCCTGCAGGAGGGAGATTTTTTTTTAAAGCTTCAGTAGACCTGACAGAGGCCTACCTCCATGTGCCCATAAACCCCAAATACCGTCAGTTCCTGAGGTTTTGCTATGGCAGCCACCATTTTCAATACAGGGCTCTCCCGTTCGGCCTGTCATCAGCACCAGGGACTTTTACCAAGCTTCTGGTAGCTGTAGAGGCATATCTCAGATCCAATACCCATACCATAAGTATCCAATGCTATTTGGACGACATCTTGATAGCATTCCTCTTCCAGACCTCAGGCGGAGGAGGATATGATGTCAAAATCAGGATCCTTCAAGAGCATGGGTCCTCGATAAACCTGGACAAATGCCATCTAGTACCATTGAACCATCTCTTGCATTTGGGGGCTATCACAGACACCTTAACTGGCCAGGTCTTCTCTCACAGGAGCGTTGAGACAGTACAAGGGACATCACATCACAGATTCTGCCTGCCAGAGAGGTGCCTATCATCTTGCTGTCTCAACTTCTTGGCAAGATGATATCGTGCATTGGGATCGTCCCAGGGGCCACTTCCATGCCTGAACCCTGCATTGGTTCCTGCTCTCCTACCAGAAGGCAGGCAGGGGCAACTCACCAAGGAGGGTTCACATCCCCTTGTTAGTTCTTCATTCTCTCCATTGGTGGTAGTCCCGAGCCATGGATCAGGGTTGCTTGTACAGGGAGCCCCAGAGGATCACCATCACAACCAACACCAGTCTGTATGGTTGCAGGGCCCACCTGGGAGTCCAGGTTAGGTGGTCATGGGAGGAGCTCACCCACAACATAAATTGACTAGAGCTCAGGGCTGCCCGCTTAACTCTCAAGGATCTAATGCAGGAGGTGATGGGGAGACAGGTTCTTCTCCTCACAGACAATGTGGCCACCAAGGCCCACATAAACCAGCAGGGGGGCACTCGTTCCAGATCTCTAATGCAGGAGGTGACTCAGTTGTGCAGGTGGGCAGAGAGACACCTGTTGTCCCTGTGAGCAGAAAACATCTCAGGAGTTTCCAATGTGCAAGCAGACTGGTTGAGCAGGGCCACAGTCGACAAGTCGGAATGGTGACTGCATCCCAGTCTGTTTATTTATTTATTTGATTTGATTTGATTTGTCAATTGTTTACAAGATAATAAGTATAAGTGTATACATAGTTATGAATACATGAAATGGGTACATATAAGAAAAATAAAAGAAACAATAGGACAGGGACGGTAGGCACATTGGTGCGCTTATGCACGCCCCATAGAGACCTCTTAGGAAAGGGGTGAGGTCAATAGTAGACAGTCTAAGGTTAAAGTTTTTGGGGTTTGGGGAAGAAACTACAGAGTCGGGTAGAGTATTCCAGACATTGATCACTCTGTTGCTGAAATCGTATTTCCTGCAATCAAGCTTGGTGCGGTTAACCTTGAGTTTGTATCTGTTGTGTGCTCTTGTGTTGTTATGGTTGAAGCTGAAGTATTCATTGACAGGTAGGACATTGCAATGTATGATTTTATATACCATGCTTAAATCAGACCGAAGACGGCGTAATTCAAGGTTTTCTAGTTCTAGAATTTCAAGTCTGGTGGCATAAGGTATTCTACAACGAGTAGAGGAATGGAGAACTCTTCTTGTGAAATATTTCTGGACTTTCTCAATTGTGCTAATATCAGATACGTAATGTGGTTTCCAGACTGATGAGCTGTATTCGAGTATTGGTCTAGCAAATGTTTTTTATGCTCTAGTTAGTAGTGTGATATTACCAGAGAAAAAGCTACGTAAGATTAGGTTAACAACTCTTAATGCCTTTTTGGCTATGTAGTTGCAGTGGGCTCTAGCACTTAGATCATTAGAGGTGAGTATTCCAAGGTCCTTTACAGAGCTTGGATCATCAACAAGATCTTGACTATTCAGCTTGTATTTTATTTTTGGATTTTTTTTGCCAATATGTAAGACAGAGCATTTATTTGTTGAGATTTGAAGTTGCCATTTGTTTGACCATTCTGATACACAGTCAAGATCTTTTTGAAGGGTAGCAGTATTGTCTGTGGTATTGAACAGCTTTACATCATCAGCGAAAAGAACGCAGTTGCTCTTAATATGATCACAGAGGTCATTTATGTAGAGTATGAAGAGAGTTGGTCCTAGAACACTGCCTTGGGGGACACCACTATTGACAGGTACAGAATTTGATAGGACGCTCCCAATTTTGACCATTTGTTGTCTGTTTAACAGGAATGCTTCTATCCAGTTATGCAGTTGTCCAGAGATACCATAGGATTTTATTTTTAGTAGTAATTTGTCATGTACCACTGAATCAAAGGCTTTACAGACGTCTATGTAGATTGCATCTATTGTTTTGCCCTGATCAAGTTGTGTAGTCCATATGTTTTTGCAGTGTAAGAGTTGCAGATTACAGGATAGTTTTTTTCTGAAACCAAATTGTTTATTGGAGAGTAGGTTGTTTGTCTCTAAGTGGAGGATGATGGATTGGTTAATAATTGATTCCATGACTTTACAGGTGACGCAGCATAAGGAGATTGGTCTGTAATTTTCAACTAGACTAGGGTCTCCCTTTTTGAAGATGGGGATGACTGTGGCTAGTGACCATAGGTTAGGCAAGGAACTGGTCCTGAAAGATTTTTCAAAGATTATGCTTAGAGGTTTGGCTATGGCAGTGGATAGCTTTTTTAAGAAATAGGCACATATTCCATCCGGTCCAATAGATAGAGATGGTTTTAGATTGCGTAGTGCTTTTTCAACATTGTCTTCTGTAAAATCGATATGTATTAGATCATTGTAGTTATCTGTGGTTCGGCTAGGAAATACCAGGCATGATCCATTGCTGTTTACAAATACTGAGCCAAAAAATGTGTTAAAGATGTTGGCTTTAATGGTGTCGTCATTGCAGTCTTTACCATTAGGTCCTATCAGGGGTGGGATGGACCTTGAATCTTTTAGTTTGTTGTTTACAAAATTGTAAAAAGCACTGGTGGAATTGGTGCTTAGAAGGTTTTCCTCTTGTTTAATGTGATAATTGGTGTATTCGGTCTTTATCTGGTGGCATAAATTTTTGTATCGGGTTTTGAAATTGGCAACGTGACCAGATTTGTTTTTCTGCCAGAGTGATCTCTTTTTGGATTGAAGTTTCCTTATTGTTATGGGCAATCTGTTTTTTTGTTTTGTTTTGGGAGTTGTTGTTGGTACATATAGTTTGATGACTCTTTTGACTTCAAGTAAAAATATGTTGTAATGGTCTTCAACAGTATTGCATCCAGTGAATAGAGATTGCCAATCAAGGGATGAGAGATCGTTGTCTATGAGATCATAGTTGCCTTTTTTGAAGTTATAATTGGGGATTACGTCATTGTGGTGGTTTTTGTGTGGATGTATGTTGAGACAAAAGTCAATCATATTGTGGTCACTGCTGGAAAAGGGTTCTTTAGTTTATATTCCGTAAATTAAATTCAAACTATTGCAGAAGATGAGATCGAGGCAGTTGTTTAGTCTAGTGTTGTTGGTTACTAGTTTTTCCAGTCCCAGATTTGTAACAGCATTGTAAAAGGTTGCGTGTATGGTTTCAGTTGTACATTCATTTAGGGTCCAGTCAATATGAGGCAGATTGAAATCACCAAGAAAGATAAAAGGATATGGGCAGGATGCTGCCCATGTTAGTAGTGTATTTAGCTTGTTTACATGTTCGATGTCATAATCAGGTGCTCTGTAACATAGTAAGATTCGAATTGTGATATTTAAGGATAGTTCACAGATAATGGTCTCAGGAAGAGCAAGCTCCTGGGTAACTTGGATATTTTTTAAGGACTTTTTATAGAAGATAGCAACACCACCTCCTCTACGAATTTCACAATCTGATCGGTAAACATGATAGTCTCTTACTGTGGTAATGGAGTCAGGGAGAGATGCATTGAGCCATGTTTCACAGACAAATATAATGTCGAATTTAGCCATATTTAGTAGGAGGAAAAATTCAGGTATTTTATTTACAAGGTTTCTTGCATTGAGTAGCTTGCATTTAAGGCCAGCAGTAGTTGGAATTGAGGTAGTTAGGGGCGTGCGTGCCTAGTCTTGGGTGATGGTGGATTGGTTAAGGTAGGGTTGTGGTTGAAGGTTAAAGCTGAGTTGCGGGATGTGTGACTTACTTTTGATACAGTCAGCATGGTAGTCAATGTACGGGTCCTTCTCTTCATTGTCTAGACATTTTTTGAGTTCAGTGCGGAGTACACGGGAGCGGGCACGTTGCTGTATGGTTAGGTCAGGGCGACAACGGAGGTTCTTATGGTTGGTGTTGGTTTTGGTGAATGAATTTATAGAGTAAATGAGGTTACATTTGCTTGATTCATTTTTGCAAATGACCCTGCAGAAGCGTGGGGTCACAGAGCCATCTCTGTTTTTGAGCTCTCGGCCAATGCGGGAAATGTCAAGTATTTCATCAGGGGAGATGGTTGATGCTTGATAATCACTGATGATGTTTCGGACAGTTGTGATGTCATCATTATCATTGATGCCCTCTAGACCAAATAAGATGGCGTTTGGACGTTTCCGTTCACGCTCAACAGCTTCTCTGATGAGGATTGGGATATCAATATTTGTCTGGGTTCCAGGAGATGACAGAACAGTTCGGCCATCTGATTCTGAATCTCTTTGCATCTCTGGAGATTTCGCAGCTCCTGAGGTTCTTTGCACAGTTCCCAGCACCAGGAGCAGAAGGGGTCAATGCTCTCCAGTGCAGGTGACCCCAAGGGCTATTGTATGCCTTCCCTCCTTCCCCTGATTCTGGGGACAATCAGAAAGGTACTGACAGAGAGGGCAGAGGTTCTGTTGATAGCCCCTTACTGGCCCAGGTGCCCATGGTTCACTGACCTGGTGGGCCTGTAGGTTGCCAGACCCTGGAGAATTCCCCTGCACAGGATCTCCCTCAGCCAGGGCCCATTGAGCACCCAGATCCAGCCTGGTTTCAGTTGACCATCTGGCGCTTGAGCGGATGCTCCTGAAATAGGAGAAGTTTTCCAGAAGGGTCATTCAGACCATCCAGGTGGCCAGAAGACCTTTCATGACCAGGATATACAACACAGCGTGGAGGATTTTCTGCGGCTGGTGTGCCAGTCACCTATTGGAACCTACTGCTGTATCTATGGCAAATGTATTTGAGTTCCTGCAGGACGGGTTGGACAGAAGTCTCGCCCCCAGTACCTTGAAGAGACAGGTGGCTGCCTTGGCCTCAGTTTTTTTCGGTTAAGGACTCAACCACTCTGGCCCAATACCCCAGGGTGAAAGCCTTCCTTAGGGGAGCCACTAATTTGAAGCCACCAGTGGTCCACTGTTACCCCACCTGGGATTTTCCTAGGGTCCTGCAGGCACTGACTTCTCCCCCATTCGAACCCTTGCATAAAGTCAGTCTTTACCTGACTTTAACTCATGTGCAAAGTGTCATTCTTAGTGGTCATTATTTTAGCCAGGCGTATCTCGGAGTTGACAGCCTATCCATCAGAAAGGACTTGTGCATTTTCCATGCAGACAGGGTGATGCTGCGGTTGGGCCCTACCTTTCTGCCCAGGGTGAACTCCTTATTCCATCGCTCACAGGAGTTGATTTTGCCTGACTTCTGTCCAGGGCCTACCCATGCACTGGAGAGAAAATGGCACACTTGGATGTTAGGAGGGCCCTCCATATATACATCAAAAGGACCTCCTCTTTTAGGAGGACTGAAGCCCGGTTCGTTTCCTTTCAGCCATCAACTTTGGGTCACAGGATGACACTCAGTGGAGAAGGGGCATTGGTCCTACCTGAACGCTTCTTCTCGGGGAGCTGAAGGGAGAATCCAGTCCCACCCTGTATTCTGTCTGGTCGGAGTAGGGAGGAAATGTTTTTTTCTCACAGTATCAAATAGGCCATCTGTTAAAGGATGAGGAGCAGCTGGATTCACTTCGATGTCGTTCAGAATTGGGGACCGTTACCAATGGGTGTGTCCTCAGTTTTTCAACTCGGTCTGCAGAGCTATGAGACTAGAGAATCCTGGATTCTCCCTTCGGCTCACCGAGAAGAAGCGTTCAGGTAGAACCAATGCCCCATTTCTCCAGTTTATCTCTATTTAGGAAGGACCCAAAACAATACTGCTGGCTAAGAAGACAACATAAGGGCAAATAACTTTTAAAAATCTTTATCACCATGAGGAAATAAGAAGAAATGCTCTTACCTATATTAATTCAGAATTGGTCTGTCTTTCTCCACTAGTAGTCTATATATATATATATATATCTTCTACAGCTTTATTCTTCAGAGATCTTTATAGATTGGGGACCACCCAAGTTTGTATGCAGATAAAATATATATTCAGGCATGATCTGACTCATATGTGTCTGTGCACTCCCATTCCAAGTGACAACTAATGCCCTATCTAGATCTTGCATGAGAACCTCAGGGACAATTCTTAAGTTCCTTATGAAATGTGATCGTGTCAATTAGGTGCTGGGATATAGAGTCCAGTCTGGGGAAAACACACACACTGTAAACCTCAGGTAAGCAGGGACTGATCCATCCATATTATGAAAGTGATGTAGTATACTCCAACACCAGATCAAATTGCAACTGTCCTGAATAACAACAAAACCATCCTTGAATATTATTAAAGAACATTGTGAGAAAATATGGTACCATTTTTTATGTTCCTCGAGAATAATATTAACATATTTTTAAAAGAATTCATGCTGTAAATCTCATACTATGCAGGAATCACACCTGCAATATTGAAGTGTTATTTGGTGCTAAACCTTATGTGTTCTAATACTGAGTTGTTTTATTATATCCAGTAAAATCAAATAGAAAAACTTTGCAGGTTTTTTTTTTTTTGTTGTTATTTGGGTTTTATATAACTTTCCTTGCAGTTGTCAAGGTTTGTTTTTGTTTTTTTGGCACTGTTCTTTTTTTAAATAGTCAGTCCCCCATAGTGGAATCTGTGAATGTGTATTGAAAGCATCTGCTTCGTTTGCATTGATACTGTCCTGTAAAGGATAATGTTAAAAATATTTTTAAAAAGTTTCTTTCAGACTTGTCATCAAATTAAAATAACAATTGCCTGGTCTATTAAGTACAATAAGTAACAATTAAATCAATAATTAGCAAGACTGTACTATAATTTATAATATCCAGAGACAGAAAGCTATGGTTCTGCACAGAGTATTATTAACTATGCCACTTTCCCCAAGGAGTCATTAGGAAATCTGTTCTTTTACACTTTAGAATCAAAGGAAATTTATGTTAAATAACAACTGCTACTGATCCTATTCAGATTTAGTTAATTAAATGTGGATTGCAATTTACTTTATGTTTATACATTAACCAAACAGTTATGATTGCACTTCCATAAGCCCATGCTGCTGTTTTGTTTTTCCCCTGTTTAAAGCCATAAAGTTTTAAGGCAAGAGCATTTAGTCAGATAATCAGAAGTTTTACTTTCTCAAACATAGCTTCAACATATCAGCTTGAAGTGTTGCAGTGCAGGAGTAGACCACCTGTGTTATTCCAGATTTTGTTGAACTCTAGTTCCCATTATCCCTCACTGACCATGTTTCACAGTGATGCCAGTAATTAAAGCTAGGGACATCTGGAATGTCACAAGGTGCCTATTTTTTTTTTTTTTTGAATGATAGTCATGGGCAACATCTAGGCATGTTTGATTAATTGTATGTTTCAGTGATAGTGATTCCTAAGTGATCAAAAGCTGACAATCTACATTAAATGAATTTAAAGAAAACATATTTTGGTACATTTAAAAACATACTTACACTTTCATGCAGTTGTTTGCAGACTGAAAAGCAGAAAATAGAAAACATGGTAGGTGCAGTGTTTGGGGACTCTGTAGCATCTTCGGCAGCAAGAACATCTTCCAAATGTTTCCTACACTCAGCTAAAGATCTTTTTAATTCTTCATTTTGATTTTTTCCCATGCTCTTCATTGCAAAACTATTTTACCTTAGAACCATTCCTATATTTTTGCATGCATTAAATTTCAAGATTGTCCCCAAAAGATTTTCAACAATATTTAAATCTATAATCTGTGAAAGCCATTCCAAAATACTTATATTTTTTCCCTGCAAGTACTTTATGACTGATTTGGAGGTATGCTTCAGAATAATGTCATCTTGTTGAAATATTCAGCTTCTTTTCAGCTTCAGTGTCTTCACAGACCAATAAATTAGCTTGAAGACAAATAAAAGTATCTTTCAAAACTCACTTCAAAAATGAATCAAAACCCACAGATCATTGCAAACAACATGTTTAAAACTTCATCAGGCACAGCAAGTCCAGCATATCTTATACAACAGTGAGCTTCATGAAAGCTCTATCATAAAAATACCCTTTTCTCTGATATTCTCACAAAAGTAATTGTTGAAATCATATAAAATAAATCTTTATAAACCTGAAACATTTTGAAATGAACTGTGTGGAATGATGAAATAAGAACCAAAATGTTGACAATATTTGGGGGAAAAGTAAAGTATTTAATAGAATAACAGAATTGGAAGGGACCTTGGAGGTCTTCTAGTCAAATTCCTTGCTCAAGTAAAAAACCTTATACCATTCCAGACAAATGGTTGTCCAATCTCTTCTTTAAAAACTCCAGTGTTGGAGCACCCACAACTTCTAGAGAAAAGTTACTGCACTGATTGATTGTTCTGTCTCCTTAGGTCTAGATCAGTTCTCTCCTTGATTAGTTTCTATCCATTGTTCCTTGTCCTTCCTTCATGTGCTTTGGAAAACAGGTTGATCCAGGTTGATCCCACCTTCTTTCTGGCAGATGCTCATATATTGGAACACTATTATCATGTCACCACTAGTCTTTCTTTTGATTAAACTAGATATACCCAATTCCTGTAATCATTCTTTACATGTTTTAGCCTTCAGTCTCCTAATCATCTTTGTTCCTCTTGGCATTCTTTCTAGAGTTTCAACATCTTCTTTATATCAGTGCAGAATCCAATTTGGGTCAGTCACTAGGACCAGACATTTAGCCTTCTGAACATTTGGAGTGGTGCTAGAGCCCATCTTGAGGGAACTTTTCTTTATCAGAATGTATAAGTATAGCACATTGGTAGAGATCGATTGTTCCTTGTGAAATAGAATTCCACAATATTTCTTAAGAAATACGATGGTATCAATATGCATGTTGAAATACATATTTATCAATCTTTTTTATCATTCTGGACTGTAAATTTAACTTGAGTTCTGTTGCAAGCTCACATAGTTATCCCTCTGACTTCTAGTATGCTCAGATTCCTGCAATAACACACTATGCAATTTATTTCTAATTGCTTCTATTCCACATCTTCTCAGTTTCCCATTTCTTGATCTGACCTTTTCCAATGAGCTCATCATCACAGCCACCAGAAAAATGAACACACCAAAAGATACTAAATTATAGTGAGAATTGCCTATTAATGAACTCCGAGAATATTGTTTTCTTGATTTTTAAAGTGCTGTTTTATTCAGAGTGACAGTATGTCCTTCAGATTAGGTCATTTCTAGTGATGTAGAAAAGAATTCTATTTGAATTTTAGAAATTTTTGTATGAGACAATATGATATTTCCTGAAATAGCATTAAGTATTTATATTTGGTTACAAATAATAGAAATTATTTTCTATGTGTTGCTTCTTAAAATGAATATGTCATAAAGATATTTTTCTTTCTTCTATTGATGTCCTACTTTAATCCTAATAATGTCAGACTAAGAATCATAGTAAAGCATAATTTCCAACTTCCTGCTTCATACAGTAACCTGATTAAAAACTGTCAAAGAGATGATTACCAACCTCTGCTTCAACATCCTGCAAAGAAATCTCACTTCAGAAAGGAATTATTTCAATTGTCAAACTATTGTGTTAACAAAAGCTTTTATATTTTACTTATATTACATGTATATTGTTTTATATATATTATTTTTATTTTACACATACACAGATATAATCAATCAATAAAATGTTAACAAAGAAGACTTACAATTTCTACAATGAACCTTTTGAAGATTTTCACAAAAATAGAGCCATGAATCTGAGGATTATTTCTAGCAGTTTTACTCTCTACTAGACAACCTGTGTACTTGGATCATTCTTCTTTCCATGTATAATATAGGCTTGCATTATTTTCCCTCCCCTCACGATCCTCGGGGGAGTCCCAATCATATTGTCGTCTCCTCCTCCTCCTCCTCCTCCTCTACTGACCTTGTAATTTGCTCAGAAGAGGGATAAACCCTCTGCTATCCATTCTGGTGTGTCATCCCCAAGAACAAAGATGATTCACCTATGCCACTGCCCTCCACTCTTCTTACCTTACCAACAGGTACTTCCTTGTCCTTCCTCTTTCACATATAATACAGGCTTGCACCATTTCCACTTTCCCTCACAATCCTAAATTTTGCTCCGATGAAATCATCTCCTCTTTCATCATTTCCTTAGCTGCCTGTCACTTCCAAGGAGAGATGGAACAAAGGGAATGCAAATCCAAATGCAAAGAAAAGTATAACCCTGCTTGTCCTTTTTGAGTGTCTCCAGACTGTACTAAACCAGAAAATAATCAAGGAAAGAAGGAACTTAGAACTAAAAAAAGATACCCTAATGGGGAGAACAATCAACCACTGGAATACCTTGCCTTCAAAAATTGTGGATGCCACATCATTGGAGATTTTCAAGAAAAGACAGGACAGCCACTTGTCTGAAATGATATAAAGTCTGCTGCTTGTGCAGGGAGCTGGACTAGATGATCTCCAAAGTCCCTTCTGTTGTTCTATGTACTGTGGTTTGTCTATTGTGTACATTTATAGCTGATTTATCTGAGTGTTTAATTATATAATTATCTGAACTCCTTAATGTTATTGTGGTTGTTGTTGTTGTCTCTTTTATTCATTAAACATGAAACTTGGTCAACTGAATATTTAAAAATGTATCACAAATATCCAAGTATAAAATGTATAATGTTCCAAGTAGTGCAGTTTTTTGCAGTTCTGCTGGTGTTATTGCAGGAAGTTGCAATTTCTTGATGTATTTAATAAAATTATTGGACATGGTACCAAGTGCCCTGATGACAATGGGTATCACTGTTACATGTTTCATCCATAATCACGTATTTTTGAGGGCCAGGTCATGAAATTTTTCAGTTCTTTTTTCTTCGACGCTGGTGTCTTCTGGTAGAATGATATCAATGAATTGCATAGTTCAGTTTTTGACAACTGTGATATCTGGCATGATGTGTTCCAAATGACAATCTGTCTTTATTCGAAAGTCCCACAAAATCTCCACCTTCTCATTTTTGACACCTTTTTCCACTTTAAGTTCCCATTATTTTTTGAATACAGTAAATCATATTTTTTTTACATAATGACCAGTGGATTAATTTAGCAACTCGATCATGTCGAGCTTTGTAATCAGTTTGTGCAATTTTGCTGCATTCACAAATTAAATGTGAAACAGATTCAACTTTGCCATTGCAAAGTCGGCAGTTTGGATTGTCAGTGGTTTTTTGTATCTTTGCTTTCATGGCATTAGTTTGTTGTTGTTGATGTTGTCGTCATTATCATCATCATCACCACCACCATCATCATCATTATATAGCTAGGTTTAGGATGCTCACATTCTCCAATGAGCTGCTCCGAGAATCCAGCATTGGGAGGTGCTTAGGCTTAGATTGGCAAGCAAAAATAATCCCAGAGCCAATAAGCCCAAGCCATCATCTAGATCACAAAGTAAATCAAAACACCCTAGGCAAACCTCTAAGGCAGCAGAAAAGGATGCCTAGAGATGCCAGAAGGCACTAGATAAGCATATCAAAAAATGCATGAGAAACGCTGAACAAAGGTCTCAGCCTTCTTCCCCAGCTAGACTAGTTCCAGTGCCAGACGCCTTGCTCCCACCTTTAGATCTATCAATGCCATCCAGGAGGGCCGCAGATAGACTGGTGCAGCCCAGGCCATCAGCACTGTTAACTGCCAGATGGGCCCCAGAAGCAACCTTTACCCCGACAGCAGCTGGACTACGCCAGGATGACCTCCTTCTGGAGGATATTCTGGACAGAATGAAGGCCTGGACGGAGATGGAAATTAGATGGGGCATTGCAGCTGGGGTGCAGCAAACGATGATGGCTAGGCAGTCTCTACCCTCTGACTTCGATTCTCAATTGATCCATTTGTTAAGCAGAATGCTCCTTCATTACCAACAGGTACCTCTTGCAGAGGAATGTTATATAGTCCAAAGCACACATTCACACAATGTACAGGATGAGGGAGAACAGGAGGAATGGATGGAACAGGTTGAGGAGGGATCTATTATAGGCAGTGATTGGAACCTGACAGAGGCGGATCCCCTGGAAAGGGGTATGTTAGATGACGAGGGCATTAAGCCGACCAACTGACCTTTACGGGTCTGTTCCACCCTCATCTTTTCAGATCTCTGTTGTTTAGCTTTTCTGGCTGAGGAACTCTAGGAGTTGAAGTCCACAAGTCTTAAAGTTGCCAAGGTTGGAGACCCCTGTTTTAGATTATTCCTGATTTTTTTCTTCTTCTTGGGATACTTTCCTACTGTCAATTTTCTATCCAAATATAAGGTTCAATAAGGCCTAGGAAAATCTCATAATCCTCATAGGACACAGACAAACCAGAAATGTCTTATAAACATAATAATTTTCTGATACTGCAGGGAATTCAATAGACATGTGGGTGGATGCCTCTTTGAAGTCCTCTGTTTTATGTAAAGGGATTCCAAAGCTGTAAGTGTAAGTCTGAACAACCTTTGTATAATATTCCCTTTGCCTTTTCCCATAGTATTGTCCAAACAAACTCCTCTCAGCCTTCTCTTGTAGTACAAACTAAATGGGACAAGACTGGCAGGATCTGAAAATACTGAACTAAACAATATTCACTTTGCCATTGTATGTTAGGAAATCAAATTTATTTTGCAAAGCAGCTTTGACAGGATATTTTATCTGAAGTACTGCAGAACTGAAATCTCCTTCAAAGTTATAGACAACCTTACCATACACAGGGATGGTTTGTATGCCCTTTCTTTATATAGATATGAATTCTGGGAAATCAGATTCCTTATTGGTACTTTTATCTGATACAATCAAAAATGTTCTGATATGAGAATTTCTGATTATATTAAGCCAACATTACGGCATGAAGGCATTTGTTGATATTTTATCTTAATTAAATAATGTTATTTAAACTATACTATGCTCATTAAATGTTGATCTAGGCTATAGTTGTGTTGACTATTGCTTGTTCCTGTTATTTTCTGTAAGCAGTCTGTGGCTTTGACATTTGAAACAATTCTTTGGTCTAAATAGTGAGTTCAATGTTGGTATATTTTGAAATTAAAGCCTGATAAACTATATATTTTTATGGTAGATTGGATATTGGAATCTACTTAGAGATTGAAGTTCAGACTGTGGAAGAGTTTATAATTTCTGAACTATCTTTGATGTTTCAGATGTCCCTGAATTTGCATATGGTGAGAAGAGCCTGTGCACAATTATATTTAATTTGGGATTTCCTGAACTGCTTGGATTTGATAATGGTGATCCATATTCAGTTTTTATTTTTACATCATTTTTTATTTATTTAAAAGAGTTTAATGGTCTCTCATTCTAAAATCACTCTGAGTAGCTCATAATAATAATAAAATTACAACCACCATGAAAACAATTTATTTGGGATCCAGAATTTACTGTTGGTGCAAAATGCAACAGTTCATCTGCTAAACAATACAAAATACAAGAATGATACTCAAAGATATGAACTGGTTGCAGATGTTCTTTCTAGATGTACTGACTTTTTCTGGAAACTTTGTCATGTGCATCATAGTTGTTCAGCAGTTTCCTGATGGTGGTGTCATAAACATTGACATTCACGAATAGTCTTTAGACATTACCTTGGGCTTCTTTGGGAT